CTGCCCCCAGCCTGGAACCCCCATTATACTCCAAAACCCTCATCCCCCCTCCCCAGAGCCTGCACCCCCAGATGGAGCCCCTTTCCCCCCCCAACCCTGTCCAGGCCCCACCCCATAGCCCTCTCTCCAGTCCAAAGATCTAACTGTGTTGGGTTGTGGGCATCAACACTGTTTGTCAACCGGGGGGCGAGGGGAAAGGTTGGAAGCCCGCGGCTCTGTGTGTCTCTATGAGCAATTGTCAGCCCCTATTATTTCCCTCATGCTCGTGCTAGCCGGCGAGCCTTGCACTTCTTTGCACCCAACAGAGCCTTGTGAGACTGGGGGTCTCTTTGCCTGCTCCCTTCAGGGCAGTTACTAACTCCATACATTTGTGAATGGGGCATTTCTGCCAAGTAGCTCTCTGTCCTGCTTGACTTGGAAACAGGCACTTTCTGAAGTCTCACTCCTTTTCCCAGGCGAAGCCGGTAAATCATCTCAAAAGACAGCAGGGGCGTGCTCTTTGTTTCTGAGCAATACGGCCGTGGCAGGAGATTACGGTAATGGCAGGGGAGAGTGCCTGCTGTAGCAGCAGAGCGGTAAAGTTGCTGCTGCTTCTTGATAGGGAGGCGCTGAAGATTGCGAGTGGGAGGGGGCGGTGGTTCCCGAGAAGCTGGCCCCGAGCCCCGCAGGCCCTGGGACACGAGGAATTAGTGCAACTGTGAGTCACCAAAACTCCAGGGAGGTTGAAAAGGAGGTGAAAGGCTGGGGGACTCTCCGGCAGTTTCCCATCCCTGCATGCAGAGGAGACTGCAGTGCTGTGCTATGCCCTTCCCGGATGCTCAGCAACAGGAGCTGTGCAGCCTTCCAGAGACCAAGGAGGTGAGCCTGGGTGAAGGGCAGAGCGAGGGCAGATCTCAGTGCGGGAGATCTCTAGCCCCCAGGTTGAGGGTCCAAGGTTGGGCTGGTTGGGGGGCATCTGCATATTCTACCTCCTTCCTTTCCTGCCTCGCTTCCCTTTTTTCTGCTTCCTCCTTTCCTTTACTGGCGGGGAAGTTTTATTTCATGCACTTGGGGATGAAGTTTGATTATTTAATACCATTTTTCCATCATCAGCCTTATAACAACTAACAACAAATCCTAAGACTATTCATCACGATACATAGTATCAGAAGATGCTTAAAACTATGGGGGCTTGATTTTTCTTTTACATGCTTAAGCAAACCCTACCTTTTCCCCGGAGTGACTCAAGGTCTCATGTCCTCCTGTAGAAAGACAAATGTCAATGTAACATAAGAGGCAAAACAAATTCCCACAGGGCACAGAACTACCTTTTTATCCCCACCGCCTCCCTGCATCTGAATTGAGCATCTACAGGTGCTAAAAATAAGGGTTTTATTTTTATTTCCCACCCAAAAGAAAAATACGGAGCCAAGAATTCACAGATGAGATGATTATTGCTGATGGATTGTTGGGAGTGTTTAATCTGATGGGAGAATTAATTTGCAAGACATAATACAGTCCATCTTGCCCATAAGAATTTACCGAGGTCCTTCCTAACTGGGAATTAAGATCTATGTTGCTATTGATGGCCTTTCAAATATCTGATCAGTGCTTTAAAAGGAAACCTAGACCATCCCTCACTGTTATAAGCAATTATTAACTGTCACGTACAACTAATCTTCATATCCTTTCTGCCTCATATTTCTATCCTCATCCTCACATTTCCATTAGATGTATCTTTTTCCCATCTTTATTCGGCCTCCAGATGTTTTGAAATGCTATTCCTAGTGAAAGCTCACTCTTTCTGCAACACCCCATGCATTTCACAAGTGACTTTCCCCGATAGCTTTCTAAAATCTATGGCTTGTGCCTACTAATGAACAGTTTGATGAGTAAGGGAGTCACTTTGCATGGTGAAAAGACTATTGACTAAATTCCGGACTTGCAGTTTTGATTCACAATCAGTGTCTAGTTCTGATTTCTTCCTTTGTATTTTTAATAAATGGTCCCCGAAGGCAAACTAATAATCAGGGTTGATTACTTTAACCCAGTGTTTCTCAACCAGTGGTACGAGTACCCACAGACGTACTCGACAGAAGTCTGGGGGGTATGTCAACACAACTGAAATTAGGAGAAAACTGATTTTTTGTTTTAAGTTTTATTTTATTTTTGTACTTATTATTATTATTATTATTATTATTTATTGTAATTACGCTTTATTATTTGTGTACTTTTTACACCTCAAAATTTCATCGCCCACCCGGCTACGATTAAGTTTTTTAAACAAATGTGTTGAAATGGTAGAAAAAAAAATGAGTATGCCTGAAAACTGTAGGTTCTGGGGGTACTTATATTTTTTTAAAGGGGGTACTTATAATTTATTTAGAGGGGTACTTCATAAAAAAAGGTTGAGAAACACTGCTTTAACCTAAGGTCAATGGAAGGCAGCCTTGTGCTGAGCGCATAATACTGTTTCTTAGTTGTGGAGAGGTGGTTAGAAAAATTGATCAGGCAACAAAAATTCATCTCGGTCTTGGCTGTCTGGAGCAATATGTGCCAAACTGCAGGAGTGTTCACCAGGCGGAAGGGACTGGGATGTTATGCTATGTATTGTAGCGCGGATGGGGAAGGTTCATTAAAATAGATTCCCAGGCTCCAGAAAATATGTCTGTGTGGGAAAGCACAATAGTAAGAAGCCATGGGCTCTCTGAATCATGTTGTCCATGTGTTTTTGCCTTCTTTAAGGGGCACTGTGTGAGAGAAGAGCACAGCATCAAAGAGTCTTCAACAAGGCAAACCTCCCTTCCCCTTTTTGCACGTACAACACGCTGGTGTTAATAAGGCCAGATCCTCAGCCCAGGCGACCAGCTGGCAAGACAAAAATGTTTCCAGAGGTCTGGAAACTTTTGATCAACAAGTCAATCCCATGAAGCCTGCTACGCATGAGCATCCTTCTGCTGGAAAGTCCCAGCGCTGAGGGAAGAATCTAAATGAAGACACACGGGATTTTCGCATGATTCCCTTCCTCTCTGCAAACTGAGTCTGGCTGTCTCCAAAAAGCAGGGGAATGAGGCCAGCCCTGCAGCTCCATTTCCCCTGAGACCACTATCCTGGAAAGGAGGCGAAATTGCCCCGTCGGTATCCCCACCAGGCACCATTTAGCTGAAGCGCCTGCCTCCCAGGAAGAACCCAAAGGAGGCCAGTCTTGGAAAGGCTTCCAAACTGGAGCTATGGGGCTAACCAGCTGCCAGAAGCACAGAGAAGAGCAGAGGCTTAGAGAGAATATTATGGATTTTCCAATATGTTTCTGGACCCCAGTTACTTAGCCTGGTTCTGGGTTTCTAAGCCATTATTGGAGTGGTTGGTGTTAATCTCTAGAATAGCTTTTACCAGCACCACCTTCCGAGAGTTGATCTCAGCACTTTAGGCAGCAGAAAGACGAGTGCAGCACCCGAATCGGATGAGCACTGTCCCCTGGCAGCAATGGTTTTCCTCCCTGGAAATTCCACGGACTGTTCAAATTGCACCCAGACTGTGGGGATTACGGACAATTTGAAGGCCATATTATTGGGGGTTATTTTGGGGGGGCTGATTGTTTTTGGGGTGCTGGGTAATATTCTGGTTATCCTATCTGTAGCCTGCCACAGACACCTGCAGAGTGTGACCCACTACTACATAATCAACCTGGCTGTGGCTGACTTCCTCTTGACTTCCACGGTCCTGCCTTTCTCAGCAACCTTTGAGATTTTGGGCTACTGGGTCTTTGGGAGGATCTTCTGCAACATCTGGGCAGCTGTCGACGTCCTCTGCTGCACGGCTTCCATCATGAGCCTGTGTATCATCTCTATAGACCGATACATTGGAGTGAGCTACCCCCTGAGATACCCAGCTATCATGACGGAAAAGAGAGGGCTCATGGCTCTGTTGTGTGTCTGGGCTTTGTCTCTGGTGATCTCCATTGGACCTCTCTTTGGCTGGAAAGAGCCCGCTCCAGAAGATGAGACCATTTGTCAAATCACGGAAGAGCCTGGTTATGTGTTGTTCTCTGCTTTTGGCTCCTTCTACCTCCCCTTGACCATCATCCTGGTGATGTACTGCAGAGTCTATGTGGTCGCCAAAAGGGAGAGCAAAGGCCTGACTTCTGGCTTGAAAACAGAGAAATCTCACTCAGAAGAGGTGACCCTCCGGATTCACTGCAAAAACACCTCCACAGGGAGCGGATCTACGCCCAGCACAAAGAACAAAACCCACTTCTCTGTGCGTCTCCTGAAGTTCTCCAGGGAGAAGAAGGCAGCCAAGACCCTGGGAATAGTCGTGGGGTGTTTCATACTGTGCTGGCTTCCTTTCTTTATAGTCATGCCAATTGGTAAGTAAAACAAAATGTCTTAACCTTTTATAACTTCTCTGAAAGGTGTGGGGCGGGATTTCTTTTTGCCATGCCATGGGTTAGAACTGGTCAGCAAAACTTTGACACAACCATTTCCCATTGGAAAATGCACATCCATCCAAAAGGAGACACTTTCCAAAACCATGTCAATTTCACCAACAATTTATGTAGTAAAAACTCACAATGTTGGTAATGTTTCACAATATTTAAAAATCTCATTTTGACATTATTGGAATGAAATGGCTTGAGGTTTGTTTGGGTTTTTTCATTTTGAAACAACCGTTTAGCTTGTTTACTATATAGTTTTAAAAGCGAAAATTGAAACAAAACATTTTTCCTTGATCTGAAATACAAACTTAAAATCAGAATTTTTCTTTGCAGTGAATGTGACACATGTCAGGTTTTGTGACTGTTTGGAAGGAAGCCAGTTTTGAATTCTTCTGCAAAGTGGAATTGTGTCCCTCCTCTACAGACATGATGTGCCAAATCTTTAGCTGGTGTAAATGGACAAAAGCACCATTCTCTTGGCAAACTTAAGACCAGATTTTTTCAAAGGGAGCTCAGGGACTAGCCTTTCAATTGCTCAGTCCCCACAATCAGGTCTGGATTTTTCTTAGTGTTCCCATGGACAGATTTTCAAGAGATCAAGCATCCAAAGTGCTGAGATCTGTTAAAAACCTGGCAATATACCTTGGTGTCTACATGAGAACTGAGTTCTTGATCATCTGCTCTTTAGAACTTAATCTAACCTTTCATTGAAGCCCATGGAAAGACTGCCATTGATATCAATGGGTTTTGGACTAGGTTTTTATTGCAAAAGAAATATTTTAGCTTTTCTGGGCATGTCTAAACTAGGAAACTATATCAGAATAACTCCTGAAATAACAAAATCAAAATCACGTGTCCTCACTCCAGGAAGCCTCAAAATTAGTCCAAGGCAGGCTCCATTAATGTGGACACGCTACCCCGACTTAGAGCCCCAGAAAGCACAGGGGAGTAATTAGTCTGAATTACTCTGGGGAATAGTTATTTCAAAATAGCCGCTCCGGAGCATCCACACTAACGCTATTTTGAAATAACTATTTCGGAATTAGCGTTATTCCTTGAGGAAAGCAGGAGTACAGATTTTGAAATAAGCAGCGTGGTAATGTGGACACTCAAAATTGGGAGATTTTGAAATAATGAGCTTGGTAGTGCGGATGCTCCGCTTATTAATTTGACCTAATGTAGACCAGAGCTCTTTTTGTTCCAAAAATGACAGAGCATGAGTGCAAATACATTTGTCTTTGAAAAGAATGACTCACACAGTTCTTTGCTATTTGCAAATGATGGAATGCCATACAATTTCAATATTTTAATGCATCCCCTTAAAAAAACCTTATTCTGCAGTTTAACAATGTTTGGGATGTAGCACCAGAATTGCTAGAGTAGCAGAGCAAATGGGAAAAAAAAGAATAAACCACTTCAAAGTTTAGCCCGTTCTGCTCAGAGTTAGGATTCTTATGGTTTCTGAATATAAAGGCCAATGAGGAGTCCTGTGGCACCTTAAAGATTTATTAGGGCATATGCTTCTGTGGATCAAAACCACTTCGTCAAATGCATGATGTCTTGTAACTGACGACGTAGTTTTGACCCACAAAGGCATATGCCCAAATAAATGTTAGCTCTACAGTGCCACAGGACTCCTCGTTATTTTGCAGTTACAGACTAACACGGCGACCCCTCTGCGTGTATCTGTTGTTACAGATTTAGAAGCTCGATTCTCAAACTTCAGCATTGGAAGGGAGTTTTTTAGAGAAAATAATTTTAATACTTCCCCACTGTAATAGAATCCAGGATTCCACATAAAGTATTGGCTTAGATGCTGCAGTGGTTTTTCCCCCTCTATTTTGGGGATACAAGCAAAGCACATATGACTGAAAAAGAGACTATCATTTATAAACTACGGTTATTAAATTAGTTCTTGTCCAAACTACTTAAATCATCCTAACCATCAGCAAGCTAATCTCTTTGCGGCTGCCAATTTATGCCTGAAAACGCTTAAACAAGAGCTTTGAAATTGCGCCCTTATGGCAAAGCCTTATACAATTTCAGAAGCATGAAACCAATAAGTCTCCATAGAAACTTAACAGCATTTTATGGAAATTACCCTAAAAACCAACATTGTGAAGTGGAAAATTATCTCTTTCTTCTATCGCTGCCTTGTACCATCTTATAGGGCTCCAGAATAGAGTTGTAATTCTCAACCAAATTCTAAGGGAAAGTTTTCAAACGATAACTTAGAAAGGTGACCATTTTCAATTAACTTCTATAGGATTCCAACATCCCATTTCATTAAATCTCTTTGCTTTTGTTAGCTCATGAAAGTCAATGGCTGCAGAATCTATCTAATGCTGTCAGCTGAGATGCTGGTCAATACTGGAAAAGTATTGGGAGTGAAGCTTTCGGCATTACATAAGGACTGCTGGTTCTCTCTGCTCGGAGTGTCATTCTGTTGGAATGTTCTTTGCCACAAGATGTCCCAAACATACCCAAAAAGGGTCTGAGTGCACATTGCACACACTTTTGTAACACAAACCCCAAACTGCAAATGCGGTTGACCACACCGAGTGGTAGCTGTTGATTCATTTGGTTTAGGTTAAAGAAAACGTCTTTATTCAAAACTTAGCTTCGCATCTTTGATCCCTTAAAAGGAAAATTTCCTAAGGTTGGTCTCCCTATTTTGACACGGTTTTTCTCTTATTTTAGAATCATATAATAAATCCTTCCAAAAATCTGCCCTTTTTGTTAAAATGAAAATTAAGAGCGCTAAACAGAAATGCAGCACAAAGAGACGCCTTATGCAAAACCATTGGAATGTTTCCATTGTTATGTCTTGATCCAGGCTATTTTCCTACATTCTTGTATCACGGTCCCATAATCTTTCGCTCTTTTTTACAGAGCTTTCCACCTATAGAATACAAAGTGCTTTGCAAGCATCCTTATACCCATTTTTCAGGTAGGAAAACTCAGACATAGTGAGGGATGGTGAGTTGCTCAAGGTCACAAAGGTGATTAAGTGGCAGAGACAAGTTTAGAAGCCAGGTTTAGAAGTTTAGAAGCCAAGTTTAGAAGCCGATTTCAGCAGTTCTAAGCACTAACAACTCCATTTGAAGCAAATGGGACCTGCAGGGTCTTAACAGCCCTGGCTAGAAAACAAGCATTCCATTACATGAAAAGTTTTGACGATCCACACTTTGTACAGACCCTAGCGCCTTGGCGTCATCATCCATGACTGCGCTTAGGGGTGTTACTGCAATACAGATTAATGATAGTAATAATAATTAATAACTAATAATAACAATAATGCTTCCCAACCTGTCCCCTTTACATCCTTTGCCACATTATGCAAACATAGGAGAACCCTCAAAATACCCCTTGGAGAGAGGTGGAAGTGACCATTTCGGTGAGCCCATAGTAGTGATGTTATGATGTTTGTGAGAAAATCAATGCAATGCCGATCCCTTTAGCAGGATATGCAAATTGAAAACGTCGAACAGCCAAAACAAAGAGACCCGACACCAGTCCCTTAGGGCCTAGTGCAATCTTGCCCTTTATGGTAATGAAACGACTCCATGAGGAACGGCTAAACAATGTTAGTGGAGAGGTCTCTTCCCGTGTAGAAGCTCAATGCAAGTTGGAGTCCACAGATCGATCATCATAGGTTATATGGAGAATTATATGGGCCTATGGTGCCCAGCACCAGGAATATTCCTGGCCCAGGGACCCTGCTCCATCAAAGTTTGGGGTCAGGTCTCTTCCCTGGCCCCAGCTGCTGTATCTACGGGCTCTGTGCATCTCTGGATCCCACCTGCCATCCCTGGGTGATTTAAAACACCCCAGGGACCCCTGCCATCACCAGGGGCAGCACAGCAGGGCTAGAGCAGCTTCCTGCTGCTGGCTCTGCATTGCTGCTGGCATGTCCCTCATGCTCTGGGATTCTTTCTGTGTGCTGCTCCTAAGTCCTGAAAGCAGTGCCTGGAGATGCACTTCCAGCCAGGGTCACAGGGGCATGCAGCTTAGGAGGGGAGTCATTCCCAACCCCAGGGGGCACAGAGCTCAGGGAGTCAGCCCCACCCGCAGGTGACTATGGGAGGACGGTGGCTCTGGCAAGCCATGTGGGCAGTGGGGGGCAGGAGTCTTGGGGGAGCCCCTGGCTGTCCTGGTTTTACTTAAGGAAATATGGTCTGTGGCAGACCAAAGGCAGCCAGCTGCAGCAGTTTGGTGGAGGGCGGGTACGCCAGGAGTTGGGATCCTGTTCCCTGCATAGGCTGCCAGGGTATGTCTACACTACAAAGTTAATTCGAACTAACGGACGTTAGTTCGAATTAACTTTGATAGGCGCTACACTAGCGCTCCGCTAGTTCGAACTTAATTCGAACTAGCGGAGCGCTTAGTTCGAACTAGGTAAACCTCATTCTACGAGGACTAAGCCTAGTTCGAACTTACTAGTTCGAATTAAGGGGTGTGTAGCTCCTTAATTCGAACTAGTGGGAGGCTAGCCCTCCCCAGCTTTCCCTAGTGGCCACTCTGGCCAACACCAGGGAAACTCTACTGCCCCCCTCCCGGCCCCGGACCCCTTAAAGGGG